GGTTTCCGCTCCTTTACTGTAATTCTTCCTGGTGTTCCTTGTATCATCTTGTGTCAAACTGCACTTTTGACTTGCAAATGTGCTTCACGCCTAAGCCATGTGCACATTTTGAACATCGGCGCGCAAAAGTGTTCTGGCGCTGCTGTGTTTTCAATTGGTTTCACACTTTGGATTTGCAAATGTGCGTCCCACCATGTGCTTGGTGCCTAGGCCGCATGCACTTTTTGAACATCTCATCGTGCAAAAGTGTTCCAGGGATTTCCAGGGCTGGTGTGGCTTTGATTGTTTTTGCGTTTTTGACTTGCGACTGTGCTTCACGCCTAGGCCGCGTGCACTTTTTGCTTCCTGTCCTCCAGACATCCCCAGACAGCCCTCCAAATCCACCACTTTAGCGAGCCTACCTTCTGGACCCGCCAGAGCGCAAATGTGCTGTGAAACATATTGTTTCACGACTTCTAACATTTCGCTCAAGCGTATCTTCTCTCTTCTTATCTTCTCTCTTTTGATCTGTTCTCTTCTTATCTGCTGATCTTCTCCCTGGTGAGCGAGTATGATTTGTCCATAAGTCGGAAGTTTCACAGTTTCACCTCTAAACTTCCTTTGATCATATTTGATCATATCATATCACAGCATGTCGCAGTCACGCCTCCTAAAGACAAAGACAATTTAATTTGTCAGTATTTGTGGCAATGCAACATTCATGGTTACGAGGTTTCATGGGCTCACAACTGCAATCAACTGCAGGCAAAAACGGCCTGACCTTCGAAGCCACTTTGCCAAACTCGCCCAGCAAAATGTCCAAAAAAATGAAGAAGCCCGGAATGCCTTCCTTCAAGGAGTGCAAGCCCAGCCTGCAGTGATGACCCCATGCTCTAATGCTGAAAAGGCAAAGCCAGAAGCCAATGTCTTCCTTCTCAATGGAGTGCGTTTGCATATAAATACTGTGTTAGGGCAAGGCACCGATGGGTTGGCTTTGGAGTTTGCTTTGAAGTTATACAAATGCAATCAAGCAGGGTATGCTTTGGTCGAGGCTGGCAAGGAGTTTCAATTTTTTCGGGACCTGCGCGGCTCTCCATTTGTATTGGATTGCTACGGAGCTGTCGCCAATAGCAATGGGAACACTGGCTTGCTTCTTCCATTGGCATCAATGTCTTTGGCGAATCTCCTTCAGAAAAAAGATCACCCAACACCAGCTATCCCAACTATTACCCAGTTGCTGTGTGGCCTAGTTCATTTGTGTGAGCGAGAAGTTCTGCATTGTGATTTGAAGCCATCCAATATATTGGCTATGCCTGATGGCCGCTTCGTGATCACTGACTTTGGCTTGGCCAAGCGGCTCCATGGTGGGCGTGTGACAACCCATGGGAATTTTTGTTACAGTATGCCTTACCGGCCTGTGGAGGCATTAGCTGCTGGAAAAGACCAGGCTGGCCCATGCCCATATCAAAAGCTTGTCCAGTTGAACAAACTTGAACATAGTTGCTTCTTGTGTCCCTGATTATCTATCTACAGCTATCTTATAAATTCTTATAATATATTATATTATATTATATTTTAATATCTTATACCCTTGTCTCGAACTATTTCAGGATTCATTGAGAGATCCTTGGACATGTGTTTGGTGATGTTGGGATTGAGATGGGTTGAGATTGTGCTTGTGTGATGATTGCAAATAATTTGGAAGCTTTATAGGGCTTCCATGTAGCGCCATGCAACAAATTGCAATAATATATGTTTATTATATATATAATTCCCTTTCGACATTTTATATTATGATTCAATGTGATTATATAATATTATATATGTTTATAATTATAACTGATTATATATATATAGATAATTAATGATGATTATAATGTTATATTTAATTATATGTTTGACATTTTATGACCATATTCAGAGAATGTCAGATATTCTCAAACCATCTCATACAATCTCATACATTCTCAGACTAAGCAAGATATTTGTAAGATCAGTTCGTGTCATTGCACCTGTATTGTATCATATTGTGGAAGGGTTCTGTACATCCCAGTGTGGTCAGACGATATGAGACGATTGCAGGTCATCCTGTCAGATTGCGCAGATGTCTGGATCTGGGCAAAGGAGTGCAAAAAATGGATAAAAAATGGGGCATCAGGCTGCGTTGGGTTTGATATGAATAGAATTGATTCGATACCTCTTGAAGACGCAAAGCCATGATAACTTGTGTAGATCGATTTCGACTCAATGTATATCGATTGCCAATGTATATCAGATGTCAATTTTGAGGGAATGTTTTTGGAATATATCAACATATATCAAAATGTACCAACAAATCCATCATGATATATCATGATATCACGTGGCCTGCAAAGAGATTCAGTTGGTGCCTGCAAGTAAGTGAAAAACATCTTGGATAGCATCGCTTCCAGTCCCTCTTCATACCCTTTCAAACTTGTATAGATGTTTTTGTTTTTTTGTTTGGCTTGACTTTCTCACACACGTCCATACAATCCCATAATACCCCATATATTCCCTAGTGTTTTGGTTCTTTGTTTGCACTGTTTGATACATTTTGATACTGCGTGGCGCAAGTTGTGAAAGTTGTTCCACATTATACAACATTCACTTTACATTGACACACTCTATGAAATATGTTTCAGACGGACTCCTGATACCTCATGCAATATTATCATAATTTATCATATACTATTCAATCTGTAGCATTTGTTTGCATCTTGATGCAGCATGATGCAGCTACTATTAGCATCTATTAGCATCTATCAGCTGGAGGTCTGTTTGCCATTGTTTTCCCACGTTTTCTATTGTGTTTTCTGATTTCGGGCTTCTAGCATCTTCCAGCTGGCAATGGTTTGGGAAAGCCTGGCGGCAGGGAATGGGAGCGCAAAGATTTCTCACTGCGCTGGCAATTTTTTCATGCAGCTGGCTTTGGCAATGCCTTTGGATTGAAAGCATGATGCCTGATAGCTGGGCTTGCTCTGAGGGGCAACAGGCCAGGAGTACGAGAACTTGGGCTTTGGTTTCCTTCTCTGGCAGTTTGGCTTGATGTTGCTCAGGCAGTCTAAGGCATATTGATAGGATATAATCCTTTCTCTAATACTAAAAGGCACCCCTCTCCTAATAAATGAATGTAGAAGCCAGTTGGAATGTAGAGATTGGACATGGCATCAGGTATCATAAGGTAACCTATGAGGTTCAACACCGAGGTATCTGAATGATTCGTGCTGATTCCAATGGTTCCATGTGTATCGGCATATCAGTGGTTAGCTGTGTTGGCTAGGTAATATAATATATGAATATTTTTAGTGATTTATCCATATTTATCCTGCACAGCTTGGCCATGGCAGAGGATTTGCCGGATGCCTCCTTCGCTGAGCAGCAGGCGACCCTCTGGTGGGATTGTGGAATGGCATGGTTGGGTTGAGTCAAAATGGGTATTTCCATAAGGTTGGGGTATCCAACAATTCAGAAAAATGTCATTTTAAAGATAGAATAATATGGAAACATAGGTAAACCATGGTAAACCATGATGATGATGATGATGACGACGACGATGATGGTGATGATGCTGATGATGTTGTTGTTGATGATGATGATGATGATGCTGATGGGTGCAGTGATGATGGTGATGTTCGGTCGTCATGATGATGGTGATGTTCTTTGTGTTGTTGTTGAATTTTGTTATGTATGTAGTCATTTAATGTCATTTATCCAGCTCAAACTCGGCCCAGTTTCCTTTAGAATTTGTTTGGTTGCTTGTCGAAGCGGTTTTTAGCTTTGAGAATCTTTGAGAAGCATGCAGAGTTTTTGGCACCGCTCAGTTTTGGAGAGATCACCACCTGGTGCATCAAAGAAGGGTGTCTTCCTTTTCCTTTTTGGAATCCAAGTACTCAGCAATGGGATTTGAAAACCTATCAGTCGTTGATTTTGAAGCCTACTTTGGCCTCGATGATTCAGATTGTTCGGACCGTGTTTGCTAAAAGTCTTCAAGTTTTGGGCTTGGATCACTATTTACTTTAGAAACATCCAGAAGCATGAAGCCGGTGTGAAGTTGTCTGCAGATGGCATTGCCATTTGTACAAATCAAATTCATCTCAGCAACTTATTCTGATTCCGGGCATAGCTAAATGCAACCTAGGGACATGATTCAAACTTTGCAACAACTTCAAAACATGATGCATCTGAGCCGCTGTGCCATTGGGATTTGACACCTGGGGTAACTGCTGTCTGTCCTGGGGTGACTCGGTGTGCCTTGCGGTTGGGGTAACATGGGGTAACTACTGGGTAGATGGGGTATGATGGGGTAACTAAGGGCACCCGCTTGTAAAGCTTGCTATACCATAATATACCTAGTTTGAGGTGTTGAGAAACTTGGTGGAATCCACATGATTCCACTAAGTCCTTGATTTTCGGGACTCTTCAAAAGGGATAACAAAGAAATACAAAGAATACCTTAGGCTCCAGCTATGAAAGGCATTTAATATATTTTAATATATTTTAAAATCATTTAAAATCTACCTGGGATCCATGTCAGCCTGGCACCCAGCCTGCCCAACAGGCTGCTTCCTGGACCAGATGCTCCACAGCAACGTGTGAAGGCGTTTGCGGCAGAAGTTGACAGCACTGCCTTGCCCTTGTTGCGTCTGTCTGCATAGGGCCATGTTTTTCTATGTTTTTCTTAGTCAATCTCACTCATCGAATAGCACCAGGGCAGCCAATGATGTGCCATGATACATCATGTATCACCATATATCACCATATTACATCATGATATTTCCAAACAGCTCAGATGCACGATCATGGCAGCTCATCAGTTTTTTAAATTTCCAAGATGGGCGTGGCAACAAGCTGCCCATGTGGGGACTCTTGGGGGGACTTTCCGAAGAAGGAAAAAAAGTTGAGCGAGATGAGACATGATCATGTTCCACTTGAGTGCAGGTCTTGGATTTTTACCTTGTTCATCCTTTTTACCACGGATTTCACTATAAGTTTCTGGATGCCGGAAGGATGATTTAGAGGGGGGGGACCCTGAAAAGAAATATATTTTTTTTCACTAGGTCCTCCTAGCATAAATCTTGGGGATATTATAAATAGTCCTTGCTGGGCTGTCAACTGCTTGGCGGATGCAAAGCTTGCGTCCCCGAAGCTTGCAAAACAAACATCCTGCATCCTGAGAGGTCTCACGATGACTGAAGTTTCAGCAAAACTTTGGGCTTCCCGTAACACTCTATTTCCTTCAAGTAAAGTTTCAACGGTGGCTGATGTGATCCCCTTTTGAAGGCATGCGACTTTTGTCGCAATGTCTGGTCTTGAATGCACGGCCGCATACTGCAGACTGCCACACAAACCTCTGAGAGCGTTGAGTTCCTGGCTAGTTATAGGACTAGTAGTTTCTGCTCTACGCACTTTTGGAATGTCAATAGGGGAAATTTTGTGGATATACCGTCCTTGATTTACTTTTATCGAAAAGTCAGGCAGCTGTTCAATGTCTAAACCTGTAAACTTGAACTTGCTGTACTCTCGGGTGCCAAAGGGAAGGCTCTTTTGTAATTTTTCAAGTGCTCTTTCGAAATTCACATTTCCTCCACCCAAACCATCATCCACATGAGTTCCTAGAATACCATCCAGTTTTTGGGGATCCTGGGGGTTTCTGAGTAAAAAGAGGCAATTGTCTAAGGGATGTGCAGTAAAGCCAACATCTTCTAGTCTTTTCCGGAGCTCTCGATAGAACAGGAGAGGCGCATCGACTCGGCCGTACGCATTACCTTGGAGTAAACACACCTGGTCATGTCCCATTCCTAGAAGAGATTTAAGTTCTGATGGTGCTTCCATCGCAAGTTCCCTTTCATCTGATTTACCTCTTAGAAAGGCTGTGGTGATATCGAAGGATTGGATTACCCGCTTCATACTACTTACCGTTTGTAGAAGAAGCATTCGTGAATCTCTTGTTAAAGTTGGACTATCTGAGCTAAGGTTATCAATGTCAGGGTCCTGGAAACCTTTAACTACCAACCGTGCCTTTGGTTTGCGGCCACTGGGTTGGCTCAGATCCTCCTTCCAGGTGAGTATCCATCGGGATGCCAGGATTCTGGACGGATGAATGCGGTCTCTGACAATGGCCTTGACGGTGTTTGTATCCAACCAACACTTGAGCTCCTTTTGTTTGGCTTGCTGAAACAGTGCTTTCTCCTGAGCATTGAGTTCGCTGTAGATCACTTCATTCCTGGATTTCTTTGCGGCCACAGTCAAACACGGCAAATGCTCAGCGGGCTTCTTCAGGAACCTCTGCAGCTGTTGTCTGGGAACATCAAGTTCGAAGCTAGCACATATGTTTTCTTCATGCTCAGGATTACCCCATATTACCCCATCATCCTCTATGATATCTCCAGTATCAGTGGTATTTTCTATGAGGGTAACATTATATACTGGTTCCATGTTTGGTTCGTCCCCATCTGAAGTCTGGTCGGTTTCAAGACTGGCAGTCGATGGGTTTTGTGA